TTCACCATCTGTGTCCAGTCCATGCGCAGTGGGGGCGCGCCGCGCTCGCACTCCTCCAGCCAGGTGTCGGCCCGCTGGCCCGCCTCAGCCGCCCCATCCCCCAGCGCGGCCGGGTTGGGGTCGTCCTCCGGCTCCCTACGGGCCCTCTCCCACGTTCCTCGCAGGGCATGTGGGCAAACGTTGCCATCAAATGTGGATATCCTAGCGTGGCAGATAGCGTGCTTGGCCTGCTCACAAGCTACCCGCCCTGTCATCTGCAATGATGTGGACAATGCTCCTTGAAGTTCATAGCAATGCTGTATCTGTGCAGCCAGCAGGCAGCTGGGGTAAATGGAACGGCCATCGCCTGGGCATGTAATTACGCTTGCATGTTTGGCCCAAAGCGTGCTGCGGCCCAAAGCTGCGGCCGGCACAGCAAGATCAAGCCAGGGATGACCCAGGTTGTTGAATGAGGCAAGTTGTGCATCTATCAAATGGCCCAGGGGCCGTTCTCCGGCCAGAAAGTTGGTACGGTAACGCGTGGCCGCAGTGCGTGGCCGGCTGGGTGGCCCAACCTGGGTGACTAAGCACAGGGTGGCGATTTCTGTTGATATTGAGCGGTGACCCTATGCAACTTACGGTCCCGTGTTTCTTGCATCATGCAACACGCTCACCCGCTCGGTAGCCTGCCTCCAAGATCAATGGGCCCGCACTGAGGCTACACAATGCCGTGGCCTGCGTTCCTGCTGCTGGCGTCGCTGCTGCACCCCGCAGCAGCTCAAGGACTTGCAGAGAATTCAAAGTCGTTACTTGGGGCATCAAGGGCGCAGTCTGAGGTGCTGAGCAAGGTAGGCCCCCTGGCTGGTTGTGCTGCATGGGAGTACTGGTAGGATGATGTATGTCTGCAACACTGATTGAGCACGACAATCACCCAGCCCTATCTACATCATCTCAATCCAGTTCCTGGCACCTGGAGCGTTCAAACCCCTCGCCTTGACTCGCTGGCGCCGCCGCATAGCCACACCTTTGATCGATGCAACGCTGCCGCACAGGTCTACGCCACCTCCAAGGCCTGGTCGACCTCGTTCTCAAAGGCGTCAAACCGCGCCACAGTGTGCAGCAGGAGCGGCGGCTCCCTGTGCGCGGCGGGCGCGGCGTCGGCCTCGCAGAAGGCGCAGCTGCTGATCGCGACGTCGCCGCAGGCGTTTGACGCTCGGTCGGCCGCGCAGATGGGCGGCTTCTCAGCCATCGGCCAGCCCAAAGACCAGGGCCCCTGCACCGCCTGCGTGGTGCGCAGTTGTTGAAAACTGCGGCGGGGTGCTTGTGACGCCCGGCTACGGTCGATTGGGGGCGCTGCGCGCGTGGGAGCAGAGCGAGTGGGTGCGGCCGTCGTGAACGCCCCTTGTGCGGGCTGCTGCAGCCCATACATGCGGCTTTGTTGTGCCCACAACTCTCTGTGCGACGGACCGCCCCTCGCCCACCATGACCGCTCCTTCTACGGGACAACACCAGGCGTTTGCTGTCCTGGCGGCTGTGCAAAGCGCGGTGGCCTGTGCGCTGCGGCGGGACGCGACCAGCAGCCTGTCGGAGCAGGTGGGCGGGCGCATGCCCAAGCGCACTGCCGCAGCCCGCAAGCGGCTCGGCGGCGGCCGCTGCAAGATGAAGGGTCGCAGAATTTCGGCTGGATCGGCTCCGTAGCGCTGGCGTCACCTGCAAAGGCAGTCTGCTGGGCTTGCCTCCGCTGGCAGGGCAGATCTGATTGTTCAAAGTTCAAAAGGTGTTACCCTATTCAAATTGAGGCATCCAGCTTAGAGCTGAATGCCTCAGTTTGAGTCCATAATGCGGAGTGATACCCTGACTGTCAGTGATGTGCACTCGTTTCCAAGTGTTACGCAACCCTGCCTCGTCTCAAAACACACGTCAGGACTTCTTCTTCTGCAAGTCCCTGGCGCTGCGCGAGAAGCGCGGCTGCGGAAACTCGTGGGGCATGCGCAGCGGGATCGAGGCGTTCATGGCCATGGTGGACGCGAAGAAGCTTCCCGTCACAGAAACGTGAGCGTCAGCTGCATTCTTTTCATGCGTGCGGCCGGCCCCGACGCATTGTCAGCAGCGCTGCCTCCTAGTTGGCGACACTGCACCGAGCTTGTTGACCCAGGGCCAGGCAGCGAGCTGATTGCTGCATCGTCGTCCCGTGTTGAAGCGCCTTTGCTGCCAGGGCGCTTCTGGGGTTTGGGACGCAGACGTTTGGGGCTGGATTGACATTGGTGGGCAAACGCTGAAGCGCCGAGCTGGCCTGGTACATGCATCGCATAGTTGGACCCTATCAGCTGCGCGCGGTGCACGGCACTCACCATGCGCCTGCCCCGTCAACATCAAACCGTCGGCAATGCATGCAGGTGCCTGCCGTACGATCCAGGCAACCCCAGCTGCAGCTACGAGTGTTCCAACGTCGAGCCATCCCTGCAGCAGGGAGTCTTTGAGTTCCAGGCGCTAACCACCGACTGGGAGATGCAGAAACACATCAGGTGTGTTTGGGAGGGTGAGGTGAGCGGATGAGGCACCTGGGTAGGGCAGGTGCAGGACAGTGGGGCAGTGCACACAAGGCCGCACGTCCACTCATTACACCAATCAAAAAACAACTGCATAATGTTGCACAAAATTTCCAGGCTGTTTGGTAGCGTAGTTACACGGCTCAACATCTTCGATGATTTCAAGAAGTTTTTTGAGAGCAACCCAAATGGGGTCTACACCGGCCATGGTGAGGTTTTTGCGCTGGCATGTGCTCTGTGGCAGAGCGCGTGCACATACACGCATGCGCTCGCGCGCGTGTGTGTGTGTGTGCGTGTGTGTGTGTGTGTGTGCGTGTGTGTGTGTGTGTGTGCGCGGGCGTGCGTGCGCACGTGTGTGTGGACACATGCGCATTGTGTGCAAGGTCCACGGGTCCGTGCGTGCATGTGGGTGCGTGTGTGCGCACATACATGCATGCCTACGTGCATGTTTGCAGGTGCACGCTTGTCACGACTTTGCGCAAAGCCATTTAGCACGCTCCTTTAGGTTGCTTGCACCGTCGTGCGTTGAATTCATCTTCATACAGGCCCCAAGGCTACTTACAAGGAAAGCCATGCTGTCGTGCTCGTTGGCTATGATCTTGACAAGAAGTACTGGCTCGTCAAGGTGGGCGGGGGTGACGCGTGCACTGAACCTTGAAGGCAGGGTGCCCGCATCGTGCATGGAGTGCCAGGTGTGTTGGGTGCGCTTTCACATAGACAGGCATGCGGCTGACGCTAACCAATCCATTTCCTGACTCTGCCCGTGCCACCAGAATTCCTGGGGAGTCAACTTTGCCGCCAGCGGGTTCTGCAAGGTCGGTAGTCAAACCTGCACGTGGAAAGCGCTGAGCAAAAAAGTGCCCCATGCAGCACGGCGTGAATTTGGCTGTCTATCTGCGTGCATGATTCGCTCTCACGCTGCGTCGCGTATGCCGTCGGCTCTCAGGCTCTGAGCACCATCAACCCCAAGCACCATCAACCCCATGCGTTATTCCCGACTCACCCCTGCTAATAGGTGGCATTTGGCGTCGACGGCGTCGGCTACCCCGAGGACACGTTTGGCATATCCTTCATGCCTGACAAGCCCCCTCCTAAGCCCCGCAACAGACTCTCTAACTCTAGTCGCCCGGGCTGCTACAAATACCGCACACTGCCGAGGTGAGTGCGCCAGCGCAATGGCGCTCGCCAATCTGTTGAGTGCGTGCTGCAGGCGCTGCAGATGCTGCAGATGCTGTTGCTGCCGCTGCTGATGCAGCTCACGCATCTTGCACAGCTTCGCGCATGCAGGGCCCTGTTCAGTGACTGATGGCCAAGCTTGAGTATACAACAGTGGCCCCCCTCACCCCTGCGCCGCCCCCCCTACCCGCCCAATCCTATCAACACGACGGTTTGCAGCGACTATGTGTCCAAGGTGTGTTCACTTGCCTCGCCAGTTGAGGGTTCAGGGTTCTTCCTAGAGTCACAGGGTTGCCAGCAATCGCATGCAGGACTAATGAGTGACCGTTTTAAAACGCATACGTTCCAAAATGCACTGGTGATAATTGCAGGGATTAATTTCTGCAGTTCTTCTAGCAGTACAGCATCACTCTACAGCAAGCGTGACATTGTGATCATACCGCACACCCTTGACTCCCGCTCACACCCACAAAACCTCGCAGGTTGCCACCACCTGGGGTATGCCCATTCAGCAGCTGCTGCTGGACAACCTGGACAGCATCCCCGAGACGGACAGATTGCTGGGAGACATGACGCTCACGCTCTGCGGCATCACGCTGGACGACACGCCCGCGGCACCAGGCAGACACAAGTCTGGCTTTGGGGGCGGCGGCAGCAGCGGCAGCGACAAGTGTGACAAGTGCAATGTGCCAGTTTCAGCGGGCGGCTGCAAATGCGACAAGAACTGCGATTGCCGCAGCGCTCCTGGTAGCGGTAGCAGCAACGAGTGTGACAAGTGCAACGTGCCAGTGTCGGCCGATGGCTGCAAATGCGACAGCAACTGCAATTGCCGCAGCGCTCCAAGCAGCGGCGGCGGGAGCAGAAACGAGTGTGACAAGTGCAACGTGCCAGTGTCGGCCGGCGGCTGCAAATGCGACAGCAATTGTGACTGCTTGTGACGCTCCCTCCGCAGGCAGTGCAAATCTCTGTTGTGAGCAAATCTGCCATGTGAGCTCTCGTGAATTGTTCTTGTGATCAAGAGCCAGTATCTGAATTGCCCACAGGCCGACAGGAGCTTGGAAGTATCGCACTTTAATCGTGCCAAGCCGTCGGGGACGTTACCAAGCATTGACAAGACACACTGCTTTTTGTACACGGCGCCTCCTTGCGCTGGCTGCAACAAGGAGCAAGTTAAGCAATGTTTGGCATGCAAGCTTCCAACTGTCAAGCCGCGCGGTACCCATTTGAAAAGGGCCGGTCGGCGCCCCTGTGCCATTGGACCGTGAACAATGAATAGAATCAGCAGTGCGAGGTCCAAGATCTTCACTCCCTGACATGCGCGCTATGATGGCGCAGGCGATGTGCTGTTCAATGCACTGCAACCGGTAATCCACGACACGGGATATTATGCGCGCAACCTGCTGCACGCGACGAGGCCACCCTTGCTTTACCCGCACAAGCACCCTTGCGCCGCCTGACCACGCACCCAGGCCGCCGGGACACCCTTACGACACAATTCTTGGAGGCAACTCGTGCCCCCTCCAGCCATCACCGTCCGTCGGCACGGACAGGGAGTGCTGGCACCAAGATGCTGCCAAAGCAGTTTTGGCCAATTGAGCTCAAACACCCCCTAGATATCTTGTCGGCCCGTGCCGGTGCACACAGCGTGGGTACGCCGAGCACGAGGGGGGGGCGCACCTCGGCAGCCACTGGCGTGCCTGTGACCGGGGCGTCTTCAAGTACACATCAGCTGAACACCACGTCGCTGATCTCGTGCAAAACATCTTGCGGCAAATCAGCCTGCGAGGTGGTTGGTGTTTTTTTTTTGGGGGGGGATACGGTGTGAGCACGACAATCTGAACGGCTGAGGTTGCGTTCATGCCTCTGAAGAGCAACGCAAGAAAAACTCCAAGCGACGTGCAATGTTTGGCTGACAGGGTCTCAGAAGCAGGGCGCTGCCGCGCACCGGCAGTGGGCCACCCAGCCGTGCTCCACATGCACCATGTGAGGCTGCCATGCCAGCAGGGCCAGGCGACGCCCTCCGGCTCACACTGCGCTAGCCGGGATCCACACCCTCTGCACCCTGTGCCTTACCAAGGGCCACACAAGTGATACCTGGCTGGTAATGATTGCAAGTCCACGGGATCACAGGCATCGCCACTCACCTCCCCCAGGAGCCACTTGATGTAATCAAAGTCCACTAGGGCCACGTCAGCGACCTTCATCCCGCTGTACTTGCCAAAATTGAGCCACCAGTTGCCGCCCCACTTGATCAGCTTGCTGTCGGGCGTGAAGTTCTACACCAGGGCCAGGCATACAACGAGGCGTCTGGCAGTTGATGTCCTGAACAAAGCAGTCACGCTGGGCTACGGTGTCGCACCTCACCGCACGTGCGCTACCGCTTGAGCCTGCTCGGCCGGCCCATGCCATCTCGGCCATGCGGGCATCAAAGCTGAGGGCAGTCCCCGCACCTGGAGCTCGTGCTGGAGGGCGCACCACGCCTCTTGAGCTGCCGCGCTGCAGCCATAAACATTGATGTCCAGGGGGATGCAGTACCCGGACGCGAAATCTTCGGTGCGTGGGTCCGACTTCGGCGCGGCCGCGGCAGTCACAAACAGGGTGCCGGTGTCCATGAGCGGCGCCAGGAGGGCGGCAAGCTCCCTGGGGAGGTAGCCCACCTGAGAATGAGGAGGGTCGAGCAGACCAGGGTGCGGCGGGGTGGCGGCGATGCGTACTGTACTTGTGAGTGTTTCTTGCCGAGCGCGCGTGTAGGTGTGCGTGTGCGTGGTGTCGAGTCGAGGGATGGCGGCAGACAGGGTTGCAGCGCAGCGTGGGCGTGGCGCTGAGGTGTTTGCTGGCAATGCAATTTTTAGCTGTATGTGCAAGGTGTGCTCGCCTTGAGTTGTCCAGACACGGGAGGACACCCGGCCTCACGTGCCTGTAAGCTGTAGTGGGCCATAACCATCCCACCGTACAGCAGGCATGCAGTAGCGAGTGTGCGGCAAGCAGCGAAGTGCACAAAGTGGGGAGAGTGGGATGAGTGAACCAGACGGCGCACCCGGTCTCCGAGCTTGTTGTGGACGGCCACCGCGTTTTGGTCATCGGGATTGGCTGGCTCGCGCACGAGGGTGGCGTCGGCGCTGGGGGCCAGGGCTCCTGGGATGCTGTCGTACTTGCATCCCACTGCACAGGCCTTGAAACGGCCGAGATATAAGGCATGGGTCATATTGGACGGCTGCCGTTGCGTTACGCGGGTCGCGGAGTCACCTACACGTTGCACAAGGGTCGGTGCGGAGGACGATATGTATGATGAGTTGCACCCTAGTATACGACATCCCGCTTCGTCGTATTTTGCGGACATTGGATTGACAAAGTTGTGACTCAGCGGCTGAGATCTCGGGGTACCGTAGCTCAAGCCCAGAACCGTGCACTGTCACGTAAATATTAACAAGTCGACGCCACACGCGGGGACGCGCGCATGCACGGTGCTCGACCGCCGCCCTTGCTGCTGCTGGTTGCGGCACTGCTGGTGCTGCAGGCGACGGACCCCCGCCATAGCCTTGCGGCTGGGGCCTACTGCAATGTGACAGGTACGCCAACCGCGCGGCAGCTGCAGCGGCAAGAAGATCGCGCGCTGCAAGCGCTCAGGGCGCAGGCATGGGCTTCAGCATTCACCTGCCGCCGCCCCGCTGCAGTCTGGCCAAGACACGCCTGATGGCCACACGCCGCCTCTGCACCCCCTATCTCTTACCGCCGTGCGTCAGAGGCGTGCAAGGCTTGCCCCGAGCGCCACATGCACAGCAAGGCATGCCGCCCCACTGGGTATGCGCGCCACCTCGTGTGCTGGACCGACGCCAAGCTTGGTCCCCACCAGGTGGGCAACCGACCCCCGTGTCGCCCAACCGCCGCCAATCACGAGCGAGCGGGGCCTACGATCATCAACAAACGCGTCCGCCGCGCAGCACGGCGCGCCAAGCGCGCCCGCGGGCGCGGGCTGCCCGCTCCCGCGTCCCGCCGCCTCCGGCCGGCGCAACAGTCGAGGACCCCTCGCCACGCGCTGCATGCGCACGCGGGCACTGTCGGCTCCCATCCCCATATACCAACCGTTATCCTCTCTCCCAGGTCGAGATTCGTGACCTCCGTGGGCCGGCAAATGGCAGCGTTCCCACCCGCACCAGCGACGCCTGCTCCGAGGCCGAGGCGCGCGCCGTCGCAGCAGCGGCCGCCGGGGGCGCGCCGCCGGCCGGCGGCGGGGCATCTGCGCTTGCGGGGATCTTTGGGTGGGCGGGAGGCGGGGAGACGGCAGACGATGAGGCGCTGTATATTTCGGACGTCGCTGACTCAGCGGGCCTGGCAACGTTCATGCTCACGCTGTCGCTGCTGCTGGGCTGCGCGCTGCCGGTCGTGTTCTGGCGTAAGCGGCAGCATCTGAGTCGCGGCCTGTTGTGATGCACGGGAGGTGCTGGCGCGGCGGCGCGTGCGCGGCGCGAGGGCCAGCCTTGGGTATACGCAGGCAGCAGCGGGCCAGGGTGCATGGATCACGCGGCTTGCGGTGTTGTGCGTGCTGCAACCTGCTTTGCTCCCAGCACGTTCTCCTTCTTAGTCTTAGAACAGATCGCACAACTTCCTTACGTACTCATATCTGGGAAGTTTGGTTGTAATAGCCACTGTAGCAGTCGTGGAGGAGGCCAGGCAACAAATGACAACTGCCTCAGCGTTCCCTTAAGAAGGGGGGAACCTTGGGTTTTGGCTGCTGGCTGGGATTTGCGAATTGCTGGGCGCGTGCGGTTTTGCTGCTGGTGGGTCAGGTGTCATTCGCGGGCTGACACGCGCACCTATCACCCCTGCTTGGCCCAGATAACACAGAATCTGCACTGTGTGGGACCATTGGAGACAAGAGCACGCAGTCTGCCACGCGGTTTCATCTGAATTATCAAAGATCAGCGGCTCTCGGTAGTGCATAGGATCTAGCAGCAACGGGCGGCGCCGTACGGGTGGTCAGCGGCCTGGCGAGGCGATCTGCTAAGCTTGCTCTCGCTTGGGTGGGTGCTGTTCCATTACGGTAGTCTGCCGTTCGACCTGCAATGGCGCCGCGCCCCTCCCCCACGATTTACTCTTGAAGGGCTGCTTTGGCTGGAAGTGACTGTGGCACGCTCCAGCCGCGATGCGGTGTAGCTCAGTAGCTGTAGACCATCAGGGCAAGACCTGGCCGCGACGCAGCACTGCCTCCGCCAGGGCTCTTACCTTGGCTGCCAGCGTTGCAGCGGCCAGGACTCAACAACCCCACTCGGAATCAAATTGGTACTCTTCGAGCAGCTTATCACCACTCACAGCTGCAATACCAGTACTCACTCGCCAGGCACTCGTCGACGGTGCCCGCAGTGTTATCCCAAACTTGCGGGCTCGCGACCAACACGCAGCGTCTGAGTGATGCTACAGCGTCCAACCTATGATAGGGGCCGGCCCGCGGCCATTGCGTGCCGCCGCCGTGCCGCCCGGCGCCACGCCGCAGCGGCATCGCCGTCCCTCATGCCGCTCCTTCTCTCATCCGCACTTGTTGCAGCCACGGCCGCGCTGCTGGTCAGTCCAGCCTCGGCGCAGGACGTGTTTGCAATGGTATCTGCGCAGCAGATGCAGGTGCAGGCTCAGAGCCAGTATAGCTGGACGCTGAGTGCGGCGACGCCAAAACCCTCCACCCTCAGCGTCCCCGTCGACGGCGGCAGCAGCAGCAGCAGCAGCAGCGGCAGCAGCGGCAGCGGGACGGTCACCTTCACCACGACATACACGCGCCAGCTCACCAACGCCTTGCTGCAGGTGCGGCGCTCGCGGCCGCATGGGCAGTGCCTGGAGCGGCAGCCGCAGCGCGACAGCTCTGCCGTGGGCGTGCCATGATCTCGGCGTGATGCTTCGCATCGAACGGCCCTGCATGCAGCGGCAGCCGGGGTCCTGCATGCAGCTGCAGCCGGGGTGCTGCATGCAGCGGCAGCCGGGGTCATGCATGCAGCTGGAGCCTGGGCTCCGCATGCAGCTGCAGCAAGCTGCTGCACTCCGCTGACGACGCCCGCCCAGACGCGCACACCCCCTGCGCGAACCAAACCGGCCGCGTCGATCGACCCCAGGTATCGGGGCTCTTGGAATTCCAGAACCGCGGCGCCGCCGCAGTCACGGTCAGCAACGGCCAGGTCAGCGTGTGCAACGGCCTGCTGCCTGGCATGGAGGCCGCCGCCGCGAGCTTTGGGGTTGTCTCCTCATCACCATCCTCGTCAGGGGGCGCCGGATCTGCATACAACCCCAGCTTCACCCTCGGCGGCGCCGTCCCCGGCTGCAGCGGGCCGTCGTTCGTGCTGCCCCTGCTGGGCGGGACTCTCCTGGTGCCCGCCAGCAACCGCGCCCTCATGCCGTTCGCCGGCACCGCCGTCGTCGCCGGAGCAGGCGGCGGCGGGGACAGCATCAGCGCGATCAGCGCCGCGGGGTCGGGGCCGCTGGCAGTGGCATATGTAGAAGCGGTCTTGAGCAACGGGCAGCGCGTCACGTCGGTGCCTCAGATCATCAGTTACATAGTGACGGCAGGTGAGCCGCCGCCGCCGGCCCCCCGCGGGCACAGCCACCTGGTGTTTCACATGTGGCAGCTTGTTTTGCGGGCGGCGCATCTTGTGTTATTGCCTATTACTGGCTGCCAATTTTGCGCGTCTTGCCCGCAGCCGCACCACCACACCTTTGACTGTCGGCCAATGGCAACCTGTTGCCCCATGACCCTCTGCCCCGCACCGATGCACCGCCCAGGCGACGGTGGCGGCGGAGTCCAGGGCCAGGGCGCGACAGCCACCGCGTGAGCCGCCCTTTTTGCTGCCAGGGGCTGGTGCATGCCTTCGCGACCGCGCATGCGGCTCGGCAAATGCGTTTTGTGGTTGCGGCAGGCCTGCAGGGTGTACATGCGATAACACTCCAGCCCTGGCGGAGCTTCCCATGTTGTGGGCGTTAGCTGGCATGTGTCTTGTTGGGCGAGGCTGCCGCGCGATCCGTCTCCTCAATTAACACCCGGCCGCCGCCCGCCCGCCCGCGCAGGTTCGATGAGTTTGTCGTGTCGCCCGCGGTAGCGCAAGGGGCCGCCTCGTCCGCGCCGCAGCCGATCAAGCCCTCCAGCGTGGCGGGGCCGAGCATCCCCGACGCCACCAATGGGCTGAAACTCACTCAAACGACGGTGGTCACGTGGGTTTGCTGGCTCTGCCTGATTGCAATCGAGCCACGGTGCCGCATGGGGAGTAGCACAGCAACATGTGATGACGCACAGGCGGGCCTTGACGGTGTGCGGCGTGGGCCCAAGGGGTGGCGAGGACGCGCATGCCAGGCATTCTGGGCAGGAATGACCCATGCGGCCGGCGGTAGCTTGGGCAATTGGAGCTGTGGGGACCGCTCCCCTCGCTTCACAAGCCGCAGCCAGTCCCCTCGTGAGCTGCAGCGCTCAGGCATGCACCACCCATGCAGCCTCAGGCCCACGGCTCCGCCTCAAGTTACCTGCCTGGCCGCGGCTGCATGATTATCGTTTACCCACGACAAAAACACCCCGCTGCGACCCGACCCCCTCCGCCGCCCCCTGTTTCGCAGCTACACGGCCACATTTGACTACAAGTCGTCAGGCCAGCCGGCCTGCGGCGTCCCTCTGACGGCCAGCAACCGCCAGCGGCTGGCCGTTGATAACCCTGGGTCTGGCCAGATCCCTCAGCCCATCACAACCACCGTCACCATCACATTCACCGGCTGCCCTGGCGCCGCCGGCGCGGCTACAACCGCCCCCGCCGGCAGCGCCACGGCGCGGCTCGGGCGCGTGGCGGTGGCCGCTGGCGATGACGTCACTTGGACGCTCGAAAAGTGGTCAAACGCGACGGCGCTGGTGTTGAAGCCGGGGCAGTACAAAACTGTGGCGTACCGCGTGACCGCCACGCGGTCGGCCCCCAAATCGGCATACACCGTCAGCGGCAGCCTGCTCGTCTTCCAGCCGCCGGGCGCCGCGGGGCCCGTGCAGTCTGCGACGGTTACCCTCAGCGGCGGCGCCAGCAGCCCCGCGGCCTGCGCGGCGCCGGCCGCGGACGGCTCCTCTGAGTGCCGCTTCGGGCCGATCCCGTACGCCGGCGCGCCCGGCGGGGCGGCGCCCGGCAGCGCGGCGGCGGACGTCGTGCTCGCCGACGGCCGGCGGCTGGCGGCGCCGCCGCAGGCGCTGGACTTTGCTGCGGCATCGCAGGGCGCGGCGGGGCCGGGCTTGGGCGCGGACCTGACTGACTCATTTGACCCTGTTGGGCTGGCTGCTGCAACGGCTTCCGGGGTCAGACTGGATTGGGACAAGGTGGGCTGGTCGGGCCTGGTCACACCCTGAGGCATGCGGACCGCCGTTTACGGTTGCGTGTTTGGATCTCAGACCCAAGCATTGTGCCGCAAATCCTGGAGGCGTGTGCGGGCGTCGCCGGCCGATTCTGTGTGCTGAGTACAGGCTCTCGCAGGGTGCATTGTGCAGGGCCACGCCGACAATTCAGTTGCTGCAGCGGTTTGACATGCTGGGCCCTCGCCTCATCCTGCTGCTCCCCACACCTCCGCTCGCCCTGCAGGCGGCCGCCCCTCCGCCTGCCGGCGAGGGCCCGCTCGCTCTGACAGACGGCCGCGTTTTCGAATACGCTGTTCGAATCGGCGTCGCCCGCAAGTGCGGCCGGTGGCAGCTCGACAGCGCGGCGCGGCTAGCCCCCAGGGGCGCGCAGCCGCCGGTGATCGCCCAGTCGCCGCTGGTGGTGCAGGTCGCGGGCTGCCCGCTGCCTCTGGAGGCTGCCATGGGGCTGTTCACCACATGGGTGGTGAGCTGCGCGCGGCGAGAGGGGCCGCGTGCGTGCGGCCGCGCGGGTTGGTTTGGGCCCATGCAGGTGCCGCCGCCGCCGCGGCTGCTGCTGCTGCTGCTGCTGCTGCTGCCGACAACGCCGCTGCTGCCGGCGCCGCGGCTGCAAGCCTCGCTGCTGCTGCTGCTGCTGCTGCTGCTGCTGCTGCTGCTGCTGCTGCTGCTGCTGCTGCCGCCGCTGCCGCTGCCGCTGCTGCTGCTGCTGCTGCTGCTGATGTTATCACGGTGCTGCTTCTGCCCCCCGATGCAGTTATGTGCATGCAACACGCGCATTGATGTACGGGATTGTTGCCCCCTCCCACGCCGCCATGACACACACCCCATTCATTGGCTCACGCGGCCCGTACTCGCTCGCCACCCTTGTTCACAAAGTCACGCCCCCCTCTCCCCCTTCCCTTTTGCTTTCCCCAGTCAATGGATTTTACTTGGTCGGCTGCAGTCACGCCTGCAAGCCCCAGGCTGCGTATCAAGTACGACACCGCCACCTCAGTGCCCCTCATCACAACCCAAATCACTAAGTCCGGGCCCCCCACGCGCCGGTTTGTTTCCGGCACCGTCCGCCTCACAAACCCCAACAGCAACGTTCCCCTGCCGCTCGGCGGCGTGTTCGCGACGTCGGGCGGCGCGGCGGGCAGCCGCGTAGCGGCCGGCTGCCCCGGTGACGCTACGTCGCTCGCGCCGCGCTCCGTGACGGCCTGCCCATTCAACGTCAGTTGGACGAGTGACAAGGACGGCGTGCTGGGCGGGGTGGCGCTTTTCCCAGAGGGCGACGTGCAGGCGGTCGCCCGAGACTGGCCATTCACATTCCAGACCGCCCGCATGTTTGGCGGCGGCGCCACGGCGCGCGTCTCAAACGCTGCGGCGCTGTTGGGGCCCGACGGACGGGCGGTTGCGGACGGGCGGTTTGGTTTCCGTGTTTTTGGCGACGTTCACAGTGCGGCCGCGCCTAAGATCCTGGGTGAGGGGCGGCGCCTTTACATACAAGCCCAGCTGGGCCCGCTCGGCACTGGCGGGTGTGGTAGCTACAAGGTGAGTACCTGCTCTGGCGGCCGCGCCAGCCTCACCGGCGCGAACGAGGGCGGTTCCTGTGGGGGCGAGGCGCTGCTGCGATGTCTGTCGCCGCTGCAATTGCCCGGGGCTTCAAGCTAGCCAGCTTGGCTGCTGCTGACAGACTGATGCATGCGTTTGGTGACCGACTCTGATCATTATGGTCCCAGCCCTGCAAGCCCTCGCCTAAAATACAATACGTGCACGCGCGCGCTCCTCTGAACCGCGCCCCTCACATCGCAAAACGTCACAGCTGGTGGTCACCTCCATTGTCAAGCCCCAGCCAGAGGGTGTGTCGCAAGCAGAGGTGCGGGCCGTCGGCGCCATCAACATCGACGTGTACGGCTGCTGATGTGGATCTCCACAACAGCGCTGCTTGCCCTCCTGGCTTCCAGTCAAAGTGGAGTCAAAGGCGGCCTCGCCATCGCGTCCAAGGCGGCCGTTAACCCAACGGCGGGCCCGCCGCGCGAGGAATATATCCCTATAGACCGCTGCGACGGCTGCAGCCTACTAGTGGGTCGGGGCATCCACAGCTTGGTGTCTCGCCGCTGCCTGTCTGGTGGCTGCCGGGAGACGGTTGGATGCACACCCATTTCCAAATGGGCGGGCGGGCCGCGCAGCATCCAGCAGCTGCACGATCGCGGCTGCGGGCACTGTGGGTGCGCGGCGATGACCCCTGCTGCGCTGACGGGGCGCATAATTGAGGGCGTCTGCTGTCGGGCCATCGCTTGCTCTGCTTGTGGGGGTTTCAACACACAGAGCAATGACATGTTGCACTGCAGGATGCCCCTGTGACCCGCAGCAACGGGTTTGGGGGCGCCCCGCCGGAGTTGCAGCTGCTGCCAGACCGCAGCACAGATTGTTTGTGCCGTTGCCTCGAAACGCAATTGCAAACGCCAGTTGGTTCGATGCCACTGCTGCCTAATGAGAAATGTGGCCTGTTTTCCATGTCTGTCTGCTTTTCAGATGCATGTGCAGGGGTTAGGGCTGAGCAAGCCTTTTCCCGCTACACGTGCCCCTGGTGCACACATGGTGCGCCTTCAACGCAGCTAACAGGCGCCCTCAGCAAACACTGGCAGGAACTTTTCTTGAATAAAATTCCATCAATTGCTACTTAAATCTACAAATTTATCACGACCTGCTTGCACATGCACTCACATAATTGAGGAGCAAGGGTTTTTGAAGGGACGCTTTACTGAAGTAATAGGCATTGAAGAAGCAACGGTCATCGTCCAATGCAACCGTCTGATTTTAAGGGCTTCCGCAACAGGACTTGTGGTTTCTACTGCACCAGGAATTGCAACCAGATGGTATGCAGGGGCGTGCGTGTGCGTTGTACCTACGGAAGGGTCGTGCAGCACAGACTGCACGCCTCGGTGATGTCGTGTGGGCCCGCCAAGAGTGACCTATATGTACCTCTCAAAAACACACCCCACACGCGCCGACGCCTTGCTCAGTCGAGTCATCGGTCCCCCCAAATCACCAGCTGCTTCCACCATCACAGGGCCCCTTGCCAGCTGGCATTCGGTGCCCTCCGCATTTCTTCAGCTGCTGGAATACGAATAACAGTCTGCTGGTGCCCGTTTGGCTGTTTATGCTTCTGAGAGGGCGAGGCGGCCCAGGTACGCACCGACCCAAACCAGTCATCGCCTTGCCCAGTTGTCCCCCCACCACTCGTGCACCTTGGCGTTCCTCAAGACCGAGGGGACCGCTGCGCAACGTCACCAGACGCCTACTGATGCGCAGGGCGTGATGCTGCTTTGAGAACCTTGTTGGTACAGTATATCTTTCCAGGCATCGTGGCTGCTGCCTTCATACCGCATGCGCGCATCAACGCGCGGAAGGGGGTGAGGTGAGGCCCCGCCTAATTCTCTGCGGCGGGCACCCACCCGGAGTGGGCGCACTTAGTTATAGTAAGAACAGAGATCAGAGTAATAAAAAATTAATCTTGGGAGTTGCAGACTACCGTAATGAAAAGTCCCCAATGGACTGCCTCTTTGTGGGTGTTCCTGATTCCCTGAATATGCCACCCAAACGATGTGGGCGGCTGCATGTGCTGGGCCATCACGGCTGCAAAGGGGGCAGGGAGAGGGGTTGACCTGTGAGCAGGGATGCCAGCTGACCCGTTCCCGACATGACATGGGTGGCTGGCTGCGTGCCGGTTGAGCAGTAGCGGGCACGATGGGTCCAAAAAACTCAGACTGTTGAGACGGGCCGCACGCCGCAGGAATAGGCCGGTCGCAGGGAGTGCACAGGTAAGAGAACTGTGGGATGTGTGTGGGCCGGCTCCACGTCATCTGCAACGGAGCTCACTGGCAGCAGGTCGCAGGCAGGCCATACAGATATGTGTGATGTTGCTGCACGCACTAGGTATTAAGTGGCTGTATGGTAACCTGGCGGAGCAAGACCGATGAACGGAAGGAAGCACGGTGAAGGCACGATCACGGCGGGATGCAATCGCACCGTTCATTGATTCTTGACTATTGTAGTGTGATTTGAAACGTGAATTGCCGAAAGACTGACTCTGTCCGGCCGAGGCACGCGGCACATCCTTGCCCGTCGGCACGATCGCTTGCTTGCCCGTGCGCGAAGTACCTTAAAGATATTTGATATCTGGTATTGCAGCGACTGCAGCGCGCGGCAGTGCCCCTCCGTTGCCTAGTAGGCACACCGGCGAAGTGCGCCCGGCGCGGGCGTGTCGGTGTGCTCCGCTGGCAAACGCGCAACCCCCGTCCTTAGTGGCAGGCGCACGGCCAATCAGCCGCCGCCAATAGCGCACCGCCATCACCCCATCCGTACAGCGCACGGCGCCGCGTTCAGCGCGCGCGCGGCGACGTGGGTCGCATGGCCGCGACATCGCCGCCGCCGGAGACGCCGCCGCCGGCATCCCCCGCGCAGCCGGCGCAGGGCTGGCAGCAGGTCCCGTATGCCGAGCCCGCATACTGGGAGGCGCGCTACGGACGGGAGCACCAGCCCTTCGAATGGTTCCTGGGTGAGGGTGCGCCCCTAGAAGACGCCGCACGAGGCGCCCGCGCCCCAAGCAGACCCAGCACACCCAGCACACCTGGCCTAGCAGCCTCGCCCGCCCGCCGCGCTGCGCCCACCCCTGCACATGGATTTCCCGCTCACTGTCTTCCCGGCATCTTGGTCGTGCGCGCGCGCGTGTCCAGGGTACTGCGCGCTGCGGCGGGTGCTCCGCACCTTCCTCTCGAAGCGCAAGCCCGTGCTTCAGATCGGCTGCGGGACGTCGAACATTCAGGAAGGCATGGCGCGCGCCGGCTGGACAGTCGTCAACGTGAGCCCTTGATCGCCAGCCCCAGCCCCTCTTCCCCACGAGCTCCGCCGCGATGCCGCGCCCGCGCGCACTGTCAAGTGCACGACAGCACCAATCCTTGTGCTTACACACGTCAGCGGCTGACCCCAGCATGCGTCAACCCGCCGGTGACCTGCTTGCCACCTGCAACCGCCGACCCAGCCAGTCGGCGGCACACGAGCAAGCTGTGCAGCCCGCGCCGGGCGCCCACTGCCCAGGGGCGCTGGCCCGGCGCGACAGCACGCGCGCTCGTGCATGAGCGCTCCCAAGCCGCGTGCTCTCCCGCATGGCGCCCGCATGGCGTCTGCATGGCGGCTGCGGCGCCACCTCGCAGGTCGACATCGCCCACAACGTGATTGAGCAGCTGACAGAGGAGCACAGGGGCATCAGCGGCCTGAGCTATGTCAAGGCCGACTGCCGCGACATGCCAGAGTTCGGGGACTGTCAGTTTGGGGGCGTGCTTGACAAGGGTGAGGATGCGCAGGGGGTGGGGAGAGGCGAGCAGGCGCCCACATCTGCGCGATTTGAGCCCCACTGGCGCCATCGCGGCGACCGCTCGCATTGGCGCCGTGCATTCGGGCTTGCGCGCGAGAGTTTGTGCACATGCGCGCCCACATGCGCACCTGCCGGCAAGCCCGCACGATTAACCCCACAAGCCCATGCTCCCTACTGCCAACCATTACTTGCGCGCGCGCCGCCGGCGCAGGCACGGTGGATGCGCTGCTGTGCTCCAAGGAGGGCGTCTCGAACGTCTCCCGCATGTTTTCAGAGGCTTCGCGCATCCTGACCCCCGGCGGCGTCTTCCTCATGGTGTCCCTGGGCGACCCGACGCGCCGCTTGTGCCTGCTGTGCTGCGAGCGCTACGAATGGGACGTCCAGGCGAGTGCCTTTGGGAGTGCCTAAACTTGGGAGCGCCCCAACCCTAAACCCTGGACCCTAAACCCTCACCCTTGCACCCTGAGCCTTTGCGAGCGTTCACACCCGCTGGTGCCTGCCAGCCTCACTACCTCGGCCAATTGTTGCGCGGAGGGGGGACGTGCACCGTGGATGGCGGCTTGGCAGCGCCAGGGATCGCGTCCCGTGCTCGTGGATTTTGGCTTCAAACCCGCTGCACGCCCGACTGGGCTGTCTTTGCGGCTTTGTTTGTCGTATGCAGGTGCTGTTGCTGCCCAAGATCGCGCCGGACAACCAGGCCACAGTAGGCGGCAGGTGCGCAAAGGGGATCGTGCCTGTACTCGCCGGCCGCGTGTGCCCGTGCTTGGACTGCGGGCATGCACTCATGTATGGGATGCAGTTGTGGCCGCCCTGCCATGACGTCATCATCACGGGTTCTGAGCTCCTGAGCTGGTGCTGCAGGCTTTCACGCAGCCGGTGCCGGCGCTGGCCGGTGTGCTGCGCGGCACAGCTGCCCACGGCCAACCCGGCCTTGCCGTCTCAGTCGCGCCGCCCCGCCCGCCCGTCTCTCGCTTGGCCGCCGCCGTCTCTAGGGCCATCAACGACACGCTGCAGCCGGTGGACTTTTTGGGCCCCTTTGAGGTGCTGGACGCGGATACCCTGGGTGAGCCCGCCGGCATTCTCTAAGGTTCAAAGGCGTGCTCGCGGCGGGACCGTGGACCTC